AATATATATTAGAGCCGGGCTCAGTGGATCAGCCTGTAATCCCGTGCTTTCGGAGGCTGAGGTGAGTGGATTGCCTGAGCCCGCAGGTTCAAGACCTACCTGGGCAACTTGGCGAGACCTCATCTCTATAATACATTAAAAAAAAAAAAATTAGCTGGGCGTGGTAGCACGCACCTGTAGTTCCAGCTACTTGGAAGGCTGAGGTGAAAGGATCGCCGGAGCCCAGTAAGTCGAGGATGCAGTGGTCGGGAGCGAGCCAGTGCACTCCAGTCTGAGAAACAGAGTGAGACTCCAACTCAAAAAAAGAAAAGAAATATATATTAGGCCGGGCGTGGAGGCTCACGCCCATAATTCCAGCACTTTGGGAAGCTGAGGTGAGAGGAATGCCTGAGAGCCCAGAAGTTCGAGATCAGCCTGGGCAACATGGCGAGACCTCACCTCTACAATAAATAAAGAAAAATTAGCTGGCATGGTGGCACACGTCTGTAGTCCCAGCTACTTGGAAGGCTGAGGCAGAAGGATCACCTGAGCACAGCACGTCAAGGCTGCAGTGGCTGTAAGTGTGCCACTGCACTCCAGCCTGAGTGACAGAGTCAGACTCCAACTCAAAAAACAAACAAATATATATATATGACATATATGCATATACATATATAACATATTATTTCCTATTCAAGAATATGCGCTCTTCAGGTCCAGATAGATCTCCATCTTTACATCTGCCACAACAATATCATATGGTGAATCACACACAGCAGGCCACAATAAATAAAAGAGTAAAGGAAAGCAGGTCAGTTAAAGATAGAACAGACTTTCTACCTCAGCAATCTTCCTAATACAGTCAATTTCTCCTACTAAACACCTACTAAAACAGTTAAATAAGCAAGAAAGAAACAAGAAATGTAGGAAACAGGTCATGCAACATAAGAGAAATGTTGAAGCAATCCTCAGAATGATGAAGTAAAATTCTAATACAATAGCTATGTGGCAGGTGCCAATCTAAACTAGAACAGGTCAGAAAGTTCTAAGACCTCTTCCAAAAAATGAAACTAGCCAGGCATGGTGGCTCATGCTTGTAATCCCAGGACTTTGGGAGGCTGAGGCAGGAGGATCACTTGAGGCCAGGGGTTCAAGATCAGCCTGAGCAACATAGTAAGACCCTGTCCCTTAAGAAAAAAAAAAAAAGAAGAATGAAATTTATAAAACACCTAATGTATGTGCTGTACTAAAAGGAGACTTACACTAATGGGGGTGAGTATAGGGGTAAATGTGTGATAAATACATTTGAAAACTTGGCAAATAAAAGAAAAAGAACTAACTACGAGGATAACAAATATACACAAGTAAGAAGTCACCAGGTAGGTCTTACTAAAGCCTATAAAGTCCTGCATGATTCACCACTCACCATTCTCTCTGTGACCTCCACATGTTACTCTACTTCTCCCTCTGATTCAGCCTCACTGGTCTCCTTGGTGTTTCCAGAAAACGCCAAGCACACTTCCAACTCAGGGCTTTTGCTTTGGCTATTCCCTCTGCATAGAACACCTTCTTCCAGATATGTAAATAATACCCTCAACTCTTGTAGGTCTTTGTGCAAATGTCACTCTCTAAATGAGGATAACCTGGCCCTCATCCTACTCTCCCACCCTACCACTTCCTATCTCTGATCATTTTTTTCCATAACACATGGCTTCTCACATACTGTATGTTCACTGCTTATTGTCTGTCATCTCCTCTGTAAGCTCCAAAAGGGAATAATATCCCAAGCACCTGGAACAGTACATGGCACAGAGTAGGAAATCAATAAATGTTTATTGGATGAATGAATAAAAATAGAAGACTAATCATAAAAAACTGTAAAAGCTTCTTGTCTTACCTGTGAATAGCATTTACATGACCATAATAACACATATACTTCAAGTTTATGATATAAACATAACAGGAGAACAAGCAAAGGTTTGGTGTGCATAAATGCGGTAGAGTGGGAAAGAAAACTAAATACCCATCTCCTATAAAAATAAATCAATAGATAATGTATAAAATTGGAATCAAGAAGATAATAGAAGCTTTTTATAAAGATGTATAAAAACAATAAAAGGAATCAACTAAAATAGATAAAAGTGGTTACCTTTGGAAAGTAAAAAATTGGGTAGAATCAGTTTTTAGAACTATTAAAACATTTAAAAATATGTGCAGATATAGCTTATAAAAATAAAAAGCTAAATATAAGAAAATGTTAAAAATAAGTCACATCTTGGGAGAATATTCATCATGCATATAATACATCCAGAATTAATATCCAGGTTATATAAAAATGCCAAGACCAAACAATAAAAAAAATATATATAAAAGCATTTTTTGGATAAGGAAGCAAGAATGACAAATAACATATAAAATGCTACTCAACTTCATCGGAAACCAGGAAAGTGTAAATTAAAACCACTGTGAAGCTGGGTTCAGTGGCTCAGCCTGTAATCCTGCACTTTGGGAGGCTGAGGTGAGTGGACTGCCTGAGCCCGCGGGTTCATGACCCGCCTGGGCAACTTGGCGAGACCTCATCCCTACAATAAATTAAAAAAAAAATAGCGGGGCATGGTAGTGCGTGCCTGTAGTTTCAGCTACTTGGAAGGCTGAGGCGGAAGAATCGCTGGAGCCCAGCAGTAGAGGCTGCAGTGGCCGGGAGCGTGCTACTCACTCCAGTCTGGGCGACAGAGTGAGATTCCAACTCAAAAAAAAAACCACAGTGAGATAATCATTGACACCTACCAAATCAACAAATATTTAAAAGTCTGACACCATCAAGAGTACTAATAAGTATGTGAAACAACAGAAACTTTCATATACTGCTGATGGGACTGCAAATTGATTGGTACTACTCTGGAAAGCACTTGATATAGTCTAGTAAAGTGAAAGATGTACTTATCTAACAATTCAACAATTCCACTTCTAGTTATATATTCTATGGAAACTCTTGGACACACATATCAAAGGAATGCACAATCATTTTACCACAGTACTATTTTTTTTTTTTTGAGTTGGAGTCTCACTCTGTCACCCAGAGTGGGGTGCAGTGGCTGCTCCCAGCCACCGCAGCCTTGACCTGCTGAGCTCCAGCGATCTTTCCGCCTCAGCCTTCCAAGTAGCTGCAACTACAGGCACGCACTACCACACCCAGCTAATTTTTTGATTTATTGTAGAGACGCAGCCCACAGTGCTATTTTTATAACAAAAAAAAAAACTAAGCCGGGCTCAGTGGCTCCGCCTGTAATACCGCGCTTTGGGAGGCTGAGGTGAGTGGACTGCCTGAGCCCGGGGGTTCGAGACCCACCTGGGCAACTTGGCGAGACTTCATCTCTACAATAAAACAAAAATTAGCCGGGCATGGTAGCGCACGCCTGTAGTTCCAGCTACTTGGAAGGCTGAGGCGGAAGGATCGCCGAAGGCCGGCAGGTCGAGGCTGCGGTGGCCAAGAGCAGCCACTGCACCCCAGTCCGGGTGACAGAGTGAGACTCCAACTCAAAAAAAAACTGGAACAAACCAAATTTTTATCTACAATATGTAAATATGTTACAAATTATGTATAAGCTGGAACGTGCTAATAGTAATTAAAAATGAATAAACTAAGCCGGGCTCGGTGGCTCAGCCTGTAATTGCGTGCCTTTGGGAGGCTGAGGTGAGTGGATTGCCTGAGTCCGTGGATTCCAGACCCACCTAAGCAACTTGGCGAGACCTCATCTCTACAATAAGACAAAAATTAGCCGGGCGTGGTAGCACGCCTGTTGTTCCAACTACTTGGAAGGTTGAGGTGGAAGGATCGCCGGAGCCCACAGGTCGAGGCTGCAGTGGCTGGGAGCAGCCACTGCACTCCAGTCTGGGCGACAGAGTGAGACTCCAACTCAAATAAATAAATAAATAAATAAATAAATAAATAAATAAATAAATGAAGAAACTAGAGGAACACGCATCAAAAAAGCAAGTCACAAAGCAGGACTTGTATGTCTTCTGTATGATTCCATTTACATAAAGCGCAAACAGCGAAACCAAATATGAATAAATGGTAAAACTATAAAGAAAGCAAGGAAATTATACACATGAGATTCAGGACAGTGGTCATTTCTAAGAGAACAGAGAGAATGGGAATGTGTGTGTGCGCGCACGCTTTTTGGTAGTTTGAAAGTCATAAATAAAATACTGAACAAAAAACATATACATGTGACTAAATATAATACAAACTTGCATTCTTTTAGTCGTATGTATATGCACACTGAGAGCCAGAAAGTTTAAGGACTCACCAAAAGACACAGAGTAAGTCCCAAAATTCAAAACTCAAGTTAGGTTTGTCTTACTCAAAATGTGGCACTCTTCCCATTCAGAGAACTAAATAGTCAGCTTTGCTAACCAATAAAATATAGCTAAATCTTGCTCTCAAATAACAAGATAGAAGAGATAAATCACTAGAAGTAGAAAATGCTGTAAGATTTCTAGGGACCCTCGATGTGGATGGCAAATACATGGATAAATGCCATTTATGAGGGATGGGATACAGTTGTTAGAAGGAATTGTGCAACAACCAGCACAGCCCTAACTCACAAGGAAAGGAAGGAGAAAGAAGTAATATCTGCTGAGGCCCTCCCATGTGAGGGCACTTTTTGTATGTATAGTACTTGAGTAGTTTTGTCAATAATGATCTGAGTGAGGTATTATATTCACTCTGCAGGAAAGAAAAACAAGGTCTAAAGCTGAGAGAGAAGAAAAATTCCTCAATGAACATTCCTCATGCCCCATTTGGCTCCAAGAAGCTCAGTCAGCCAGATATAAAAGCATGAATAATCAGAAGATGACTACTACAATAGTATAAATATTAACAATAACTACACACAAAAGGAGAAAATGAAGGCAAAACAAGGATTAGAATAGATAGTTTCTCCTCTATGAATATGGGCCAAGATTTCTACATTCTCTTAACATTCTACTAAATATGAGAACAAATGGTTGCTTACCTATGACCAGGATGGTAAATAGCTGTGTTGATCCCATGAGGATAATGACTACTGAAGCTGAAACAGTGACTCTCTTGGTAGCTCTGATTTGTTCCAACACTAAATTTAAGAAGGCAGATAAATATATACCATTAAACCACAGTGGATATCACTAAATACCTAAAAAAATACCCATAATTAAAAAGACAGACCCTATCAAATACTGCTGAGGATGTAAAACAACCAGAACTCTGATACACTACAGTGGGAATGTGATTGATATAACCACTTTGGTAAAAAGTCTGGTAGTTTTTTTAATAAAATAAACTATGTCTACCCATGATCCAGCAATCCCACCTGAAGATATTGATCCAAGGGAAATGAAAAAGTTCATAAAGACCTGAATAAGAATGGTCATCCCAGCTTTATTCACAATAAGCCAGAACTGAAAACTTAGGGGTCCACTAATAGAACAATGAATTGTTTAAAATCATGAGATATTCACACAATGAAATACTAATCAATAAAAAAAGATAAAATACCAATATGTGTAAAAATAGTAATAAACCGAAAAATATTATGCTGAAAGAAGGAAGACTTAGACAAATGAGCACATACTATAGTTATCCCTGGGTATCTGTGAAGGATTAGTTCCAGGGTCCCCAGAGGAAAACAAAATCTTCAGATACTCAAGTTCCTAATATAAAATGGCATAATATTTGCATATGATGTGAATTAACAGAACAGACAAAACTCATCTATAATTTTTAAAAGTTTAAACATTCAGCCATAAAAAAGAATGAAACGATATGTTTTGCAGCAACTTGGATGGAACTGGAGAATATCATCCTAAGTGAATTAATGCAGGAACAAAAAATAGAACATCTCATGTTCTCACTTGTGGAAGCTAAACTAAGAATCAGCAAAAACTACAGAATGGTATAATGGACATTGGAGACTCAGAAGAGGGAGTGTGGGAAAGGGTGGAGGGATTAAAAATCACCTATCAAGTACAATATGCATAGGTGAAGGTGGTGAGTACACTTGAAGCCTAGACTTCTTGGCTGCAATACAATGCATTCTTGTAACCAAAATCTATTTGTATCCCCTAAAGCTATTTTTTAAAAATACAAGAAAAAAATAAGATAAAATGAAAATTAAAAATTTTAAACAGTAGTTATTCTGGAAGTAGCTGTGGAAAGTAGTATACTGGGAAGGGGCACAAGAAAACTCTAGCACAATGACAATGTCATGTATCTTGACAGAGATCTGAATTGCACAAATGTATGCGTTTGTCATAGTTCATTAGCTAGTACAATTAAGATGTGTGCATTTCACTGTATGTAAATTGTGCCTCAAAAGAAAGAAAACTATAAGCAAATATTAAACTCTAACTAATAATATATATGCTAAGAATCTGAGTACTGATGTCACCACCTTACACTGAAATACATTTAAAAATAAGACTGATTAATAGTTGGACAGAGAGATGGATAGATGGAACGAAATGTGATACAGCAAGTATAATAAAATCCTAAACTGTAGAATCCAAGTGGAAGTACATGGGTGTTAACTATACTACTCTTTCAAACTATTATATTTGCAATTTTCATAATATACTGAAAGGGGGAAAAAAAGAAATTCTAAAATCTGACACTTAAACTAGAGAAATAAACATTATTTTAAATATGACTTCCCAAAGTACATTTTTACCTTACAAGGTAACTTCTAAGTTCTCCTCGATAATTGATGACCAGGAGTTCTGCAGACCACTGTGTGCTTGCTTTATATTCTAAGAATATCAACCCAGCAATAGCATAGCTCAAATCTCCTGCAAAACTAGAAGCCTGTAGAAGAACGGGAAATTAAGTTATCAAAAAGATACTAGATAAAAGTTAACACCCATGCATAATTGGAAAACATATGAGATACTGGCTTTATCGGGTATACTTTAAATAAGATAGCTCCAGAACTGTTCTCTATATTCGAGAACATGCAGGTCGGAGTGCCCCGAACTAGACACCCAAATCTAGACCAACCTGCCCAAACACAAGCTGGAGCCACAGCAACCTCTTTGAATGAGATATTCACCTAGATAGTAAGTTTCTATTCAGATTTTTACATGCATTGGGGAAAAAAAAGTAATGTCTCAGAGAACTTTTTTTAAAATTATTATTTTTAATTATAAAGATGTGGGGTACAATTCAGGGTTAGGTATACAAACATTGATTATGCAGGTACCCTTGTTGATGAGGTATGCCCCTCCCTCCCCTAGCAGTTTTCTTAACTGCCAATCCCAGCCCCATCCCCTGACAGTTTCCCACAACTGCCAATCCCTTTCTTATAGTATCATAACTGTTCAGGGTTCACTTATGAGTGAGATATGGTACTCTGTTCTTTGTTTCTGTGTTAGATCACTGAGTATGATCCACTCCAAATCCATCAAAGTGGCTGCAAAGTCCATATGTTTGTCTTTCTTTATGGCTGCATAATATTCCACTGTGTATACATATCACATTTTTTTAATCCAGTCCAGCTTTGATGGGCAACATGGTTGGTTCCATGTTTTTGCTATTGTGAACAGAGCTGCAACAAACATATGTGTGCAGGTATCTTTTTTGCGTCAGAGAACTTTTAAAGCCTGTTTCCAGGCCAGGCTCGGTGGCTCAGCCTATAATCCCAGCACTTTGGAAGACAGAGGGGAGCAGATTGCCGGAACCCGCGGGTGCAAGACCCGCCCAGGCAACTCAATGAGACCTCATCTCTACAATAAATCAAAAACTAGCTGGGCATGGTAGCGCACGCCTGTTGTTCCGGCTACTTGAAAGGCTGAAGCAGAAGGACCGCCAGAGCCCAGCAGGGCGAGGCTGCAGTGGCCAGGAGTGTGCCACCGCATTCCAGTCTGGGCGACAGAGTGAGACTCCAACTCATTAAAAAAAAAAGCCTGTTTCCAGATAAAAGTTTCCAAATGCTAATTTCCACAACCAGCTAAAAATCTCAGCAGCCAATGCTTTAAAAGCCTCCAGTTACTTTCTATTTGCCTAATCAGCAGCTTAAAGGAAAGAACACTTAAAACACTCACTCAATGTCAATCTTTTTCCATCAACTAAATATCAGGTTATATTGCTAAAGACTTAAATGCACCTTGGGAAGAATACATAATCAAGCTTACCACCCTTGAAGAGGATCAGAATATGCCACCCCAAATGTCACTTTGCCACAGGATTATTTTCAACTGAAGGCCACTGAGAATCAACAGACGCAGAAAAAGCTTTCTGCCCACCCATTATCTGCCATAAAACATGGTATAGCTTTCTCTTTGTGAAAGTGCCTCCTCTGTACCAGGAAAAGATCAACTCATCACCAGATGGAGTCATACCAAAATAAATCTGCATAAACAGACCTTATTAAATAATCTTTATCTTTCATTAGTTTCCCCCATATATTTCCTAGTCACTTTTCCATAATTTACCACCTCTAGAAGCCCAAACTCCCTTTCCTCTGCCAAGTCATTTCTCCAAAATGTATAGCCCTTTATTAAAATGGTATATAACTCTGAATCTAACTGCTTCTTTGAGTTTTCACTTCTTTTCAGTGAAGCTCCTGGTACATGTAAAAATATTGACATCAATAAAAATAATATGTCTTTTCTCCTGTTAGCTTTCTTTCGTCAGTTTAATTTGCAGTTCCCAAGCTACTAAATTTAAGAGGGTAGTAAAAGGGTTTTCTTCTCTAACACCCTGAATAGCTCCTCATTGTCTAGACCCACACAAAAAGCACTAGTCCAAAATGAGATATGTTATAAACATAAAAATACCCATCAAATTGCAAAAAACTTAGGACCAAAGTAAGAATATAAAAGATCTCATGAATAATGTCTTATATTGATTACATATTGAGATATTTTGAATATGATGGGTGAAATAAAATATATTATTAAGCAAATTTTACATGTTTCTTAATGAAGTTACTAGAAAATTTAAAACCACATTTGATCAAATATAGCTCACATTACATTTCTGTTAGACAGCATTCATCTAGAAAATAGTAATCCAAACTTCTTAGCTTGCTCCCTAGGTCTTCCATAATATGAAGATAATGTTTTTTCCACTCATTATTTCTGAATGAAAATCATTTTCTATATCATTGATTCTCAAACCTAGATTCTCATTAGCATCATTCTTGAAAAGCTTATAAACAATATTAATGCCCGGGCCTCACTCATATCAATTAAATTAGAATCTCTGCACATGGCAACAGGGCCATCTAGTAATTTGCTTTGTTTTTTTATTTTCTATATAGAACTCCCCAGGTAATACTAAGAGGCAGTCAGAGGGCCAGGCTCGGTGGCTCAGTCTGTAATCTCACGCCTTTGGGAGGCTGAGGTGAGTGGATTGCCTGAGCCCACAGGTTCGAGACCTGCCTGGGCAAGTTGGCGAGACCTCAGCTCTACAATAAATCAAAATGAGCCGGGTGTGGTAGCGCGCGCCTGTAGTTCCAGCTACTTGGAAGGCTGAGGCATAAGGATCGCCGGAGCTCAGCAGGTCGAGGCTGCAGTGGCCGCTCCCGGTCTGGGTGACAGAGTGAGACTCCGACTCAAAAAAAAAAAAAAAGAGGCAGCCACAGATAGATAGAACCGATGTTCTACCTACTCCTATATCTGGTTTATTTGAGGAAGGAAAAAACAAAGTAAAAAGCACTATATTCCTAGAAGAGACACTAATAAAATGGAATGTCACGAAAAAGGCATTTTGCTTCCACTCCATCTCCTTTTCTAGACTGTAAAATGAGGATACTACCTAGCCAACCTATTTAAAAGATTATTGTGAATATTAAATAAGAATATATATATATATATATATATATGCAATGACCATTTGTATACCTAACCCTGAATTGTAACACATATAATTTTTAATAAAAAAAGAAATATATATATACACATATATATACATATATATACACATATGTATATACATATATATACACATATATATATACACATATATATACACACATATATATGCATATATATATACACATATATATATACATATATATATGAAGGTCACCAGGCACAGTGGCTCACGCCTGTAACCCCAGCACTTTGGGAGGCGGAAGTGAGATGACTGCTGAGCCCAGGGTTTTGAGATCAGCCAGGGCAACTGTCAAGATCTCGTCTCTACAATAAATCAAACAATTAGCCAGGTGCAGTGGCACATGCCTGGAGTTCCAGCTACTTGGAAGGCTGAGGTGGAAGGATTGCCGGAGCACAGCAGGTCGAGGCTGCAGTAGTCATGAGCATGCCACTGCATTCCAGCCTCGCTGATACAGTGAGACTTAGACTAAAAAAAAAAAAAAAATTATATATATATATTATATAATATATATATATATATCAGTGTCACTGATAAATAACAAAGTACTACACAAATACAAGTTATTACTGTCATTATTTTTTCGCTCCCCCCTTTCCATTTCTATTCCTTTTGTAACAAGTTCTAGCTCCTCTTGAAGTTGTTCCTGTTGCAACAGCCTATTGACTTTTTTTCTCACTGGAACTTTATAACAACTGTCTGTACCTCTATTTAGTATTTACTTGCTACCAGATGGCTTACATCTCGATAGTGCATTCCAAAATACAAAGAATAAATATTACATGTATATAGAGCTCTAATTATATTCTGAGCATCTCAAGTTCACAGTTTATTAATCTGATTTATCTTTGTATTATCCCTCTCGTCATATTCATTCACTCAAGTACCTACAAATGGAAGGTATTGAAACAAAACGTTATATAAACAAAACGTAGGGTATGCACATACCGGACAAATGACAAAAAGTTCACTTCCCATGAGATCAAATACCCTCACAGTTCCAGTGCTTTCAGCATAGGCAAGCAGGGTACAATCATAACTCCATGCTACTCGCCTCCATTGGGGTTTTGGGTCTTTTGGAACTAGAACAAAAAAAGGAGTGCTTTTAACAATATATTATAAAGATAATGAACACTTTTAGTAATTGCAACTAAAGTATCATCTACTAAGGATATCTAGTGCTTCGTTTAACAGAAAAGAGCAATTCCCAGAAACACTTAAAGAAGGGCGAATATAAATCATCATACATGCCGGACTCGGTGGCTCAGCCTGTAATCCCAGCGCTTTGGGAGGTCGAGGTGAGTGGATTGCCACGGGTTTGAGACCCTCCTGGCAAATTGGCAAGACCTCATCTCTACAGTAAATCAAAAATTAGCCGGGCGTGGTAGCGCGTGCCTGTAGTTCCAGCTACTTGGAAGGCTGAGGCGGAAGGATCGCCGGAGCCCAGCAGGTCGAGGCTGCAGTGGCCAGGAACGGCCACTGCACTCCAGGCTGGGGGACTGAGGGGG